CAGTCAGCCATGAACTAGGACTAAAAAACTGTTAATCAAATGCCAGAAACACACAGCTAAGGCAAGGATTTAAGACAACTGTTTACTGACTCTCAACACATACTTACCTTAAGCAATGGACACAGAGTCCTCCAAAGTGACTAGTGGCTATTACACAGAAAAAGTGGCCAAGGTAAAAATGTGTGATATAACTTGCTACTCCTCTCTACGCCCCTCCAAAATAAAACTACTCAAGCCAAAACGACTAGAGGCTCACATCCCTAAACCCACAATCCTAGGAAAGCCTCAACTGTGATGAATTGCAAGTTTTCCATTGTCCCTTCTGTGTATGTCCCCATTCCTTCCCCTGGCCCTAGGCTGTCAGGCAGTTACCTACAATATTTTGGACATGATTTCCCTTTTCAAGGATGACTTTAGATCTAGGTTCGGGCACGTGACCAAAACCTGGCCAATCTGTATATTCTAGCCTGTTTACCACAAAAAAGTTCATGTGAACCTAGTTAATCCAGAGGCCCAATCAATGGACATTTTTGTGTGAATTACTAGGAAATAAAGCAGCTCTTTTTTCACTGAGATAGCCAGGTATGTGAACAATTACCGTGTTTCCCCGAAAATAAGACTGGGTCTTATATCAATTTTTACTCCAGCAATCTACAGTTATTTATTTATTCATGTACAAAAATCTACATTTATTCAAACAGTCATGTCTGGCTGACGAGCTTAACTGGGGCTTTTGTTTGGGGTAGGGCTTATATGATGAGCATCCTGAAAATCATGCTAGGGCTTATTTTCTAGTAAGGTCTTATTTTCGGGGAAACATGTTATGTGCTGGGAGCTTCTGAGTTTCCTTATGGGGAAGAAGGTCCACCAGAGGATAAAACCAGCTTAGGGGAAAGCAAAGCTGGAGAGATGGAAAGAGGTGGAGGCAGGAAGGGAGGAAGAGGTAGAGAGACTGACATTACTGATTATATTGGACTGTGATGTGAGCAGAAAGGAACCCTTACGGGGTTAAGCCACTGAGATTTTAGAGTTGTTACAGCAGTTAGCATACCCTGATGAACACACCCAAAAATGTATCTATTGATGTAGTTCCATGTACCTCTCTGTCCAGTGGTTTGAGAACACTGGATCTTTTACCCAGTTTATGTTTCCACTTCAGAGGGCAGTGAAGGATATACATTTTTTGGAAAAATTTTAATAATAAATAAAAAAACTCCAAACTAGTTCTTATTATAAAATATAGTTTAATTTCACTCTTTTCATTATTTACCACAAAATTAAAAAAAATACCAATATACAGACAAGCGCAAGTGAACTGGAAAAAGCTAAAAATTGTATAAAAGACAAACCTAAACAGAAGAAAGGATGAGCAGTGACAACACACACCATACCCTCTCAAATGAGTTCAGAAAGCACAGTCCATGTTGATGGGTTTTCTTTCTAAGGTCAGCTTTTCACTGGAACCACATCTGGAAAGTTCCCTAAAGTTTTAAATTATGTGGGAAGGATCTTTACTTAAGAAGCATTTCTCATAAAACAACCCATACCAAAGAGGCAGGCATATTCTAGACACAAAAGTGATAAATGCCTCTGCTAGGCCTGATGGAACTTGGAAAAAATTAATATAATGAAAACAAAGGACTGTTGAAATAGAAAAGTGACACCTACTGGCCACTTAGCAGTTTTTTCTTTATGGCTTCTGATTATTCTGGATGTCAGCCCTGCTCTGCCTGTAAGACTGTGCTTAACAAGTCTGAATCTCCAATTCCAGAGCTCACCAATGACCTGCCTGAGCCGTAGATAGCCTCCTTAGAGCGGGATCTGAAACTGGACACCACTAAGCCAGGTCTAACAACTAAATAGTGGCTATTTCATCTACCTGCGCCCCAGACACTACAGAGATTCCTCAAAGAATATGACTTGAATACAACCTTTCCCCATAGTGATGCTGTAAATAAATACTTTAATCTCATTTATTTACCAAAAGTCTCTAGTCTGTATTTTCCTGTTTGTCTTTTTGTTTCTCAATGGATTTCCAAATTTAGGGACTACCATAGGGTATCAACATCTACCTCGAGTTTTATTTGATTTCAGGTTATCATCTTGTAATAAAATACATGATCACATTTTCAAGTTTACTAGTTTCAATACAGTTTTAAATTTGATACATGGATAGAGGTTCAGTTATTTGTACAAAATCAAGGGCCAATACTCAATTGTTTTTTTTAAACCACAGCATTTGGAGGTAAGTATCATATTCATAGCATAACCTTTGGTCTACTTCAATGATGTTCGCTTAATAAAATGTTCTAGAGCAGAACTGTCATAGAAATATATGCTACATGTGTAACTTAACATTTTCTAGAAGCCACATTAGAAAAGCGAAAATTAATGCTTTCTTTAATTCAGTGTATCCAAAATATCTGAACATGTAATCGATATAAAATTGTTAATATATTTTGTGTTTGAAATCTGATATGCAATTTATATTTACAGCTCATCTCAATTTGTGTTAGCTACATTTCAAGTGATCAGTAGCCACATGAGGCTAGCGGCTATCACACTGGACAGCACAGTTCTAGAGTCTGACCCTAATGCTCAAGTTCTGTGGATTAGAATCACAGAATCAGAATTGGAAGTAAACTCAGAGGTGAAACCTCTTGTTACAAATGAGAAAACTGAGGTATGGAGTTTAAATGGCTTGCTTGGAGTCACACAGCGAAGTTTAGGCTGTGTGGGCTCTGGATTCTAGGCACTCCTCCCAGGCCACTGCATGACTACAGGTAATACTTAGGGTAAGAAAGAGAACTAGAGTACTCCTTTTATGATGCTTTCATTCAACATGTAGACATTTTCATCAAAATGTAAGAAATTAATTGGTAGGAGAAAAAGTAATATCAAGTAAGCCATAAAAATAATCTGCCACTTCTGATAGTAATCAAATACAAATAAAATGCATTTTGAAGAAAACGCTAAACTTGGGAGAGCTACAGTGTCACGCAATGGGTGGACTGGGTTCTGGGTGAAGGGTAGGAAGAGCTACTGAAAAACATTCGAGCGGGTTGTGAGAGGATCAAAGCTTTCAGTTGGCTATCTCTATCTGTCAACTGGTTTATGCAATAACCCCGCCCCCTGCAAAGAGAAAAAACTGCTCCTGTGCAAGACAGCAGTGGCTTGCCTCTAGAAACGCTGCCTCTCAGATCCTTGCATGATGAAGGTTTGCCCCTTCTGCTTATGAGGCCATCCGGCCACAATGACCTATCCTGCTACCACTGGCATAGGTCAGTTCTGGAGGCCAAGCCTACCCCGCCTAAGGTATTACGTCTCTAGGCAGGTCCCTGACTTACAGAACAGATGTATGCTCATTCATGCTTTCTCAGACTTCACTCTCATGCTTAAGCTGCTGCACACCAATGTCGCCCATCTTGTAGGATTTCTTTGGTTTATTCTACACCTGGATGTCTCAAGTCCTGAAGAGTCAGAACCGGGAGTGGTGGTGACCCTCTGACATTGCCGGAACATTGTACTGGCTCAAGAGGACAAGGTGCCAATATATCCTGGCCCACAGAGCCACTGCAAATGTCACACTTGAGTGGAACATCTGCTTTTGGTTATTGCCTGTTGGTATGTTTGCCTTTAACCCATCTGATGGAAGTTCAACCTATTACTGACAGCCTAAAAAAATATGCAAGATCAAAATAATGCTTTGTTTTGGTGAGAGGCTATCAGGGAAGTCTGCTGGAAAGGTATAGAACCATCCAGAGAAAGAGAACTGGATGTGAACCCCACATCAGAGCCTTAGGTTTTCCCCACTAGTTTCCTAGCCTATCTTATTTTCATTTGTGGGGCCCAAATAGAACTTATGGGAACATACTTGGTAAGCTAGAAAGACCTATTGAAACATAAGGTATTATGGAAGTATGATCTTCAAAACGGTAGGTATACATATGGTACTTTAAATAGTAATTCTTGCACTCAATTTGAGCCACCTCTGAATTACTGGTTTAAAAATGCTCTCCAAATATTTAATTATTGCTAGTAAATTGGTTTTTAAATTCTTTTTTTTACCCCCAGGGCTTTTGAAACAGATACACAGGCTCCCTTGTTGAATAGCAGTTAAAAGAGGAAAACATACAGGAGGAATAAATACGCTCTTTCCACAAAGGAGGTTTTCCACTAACCATGAGGCCCATCAGTAGCTTCACTAGGGAGTTTTAAAGAAAAAAGTTCCCTTTAGAGTTAAAAATGGACTCTCCTAAGTTTCCTCCACAAATGTTCAAAATAAAAAGGCCATTTCCAATACATTAGTGAAAAGTAAATGCAAACACAGGCGGAGGAAAAAAAAAAGATAAAAAGAAAAAAGAAAAAAAAGAAGCAATTAAAGCAGCCAGGAGCAGTGTCCTGGGAGAAGGGGGGCTAAAGTAGGGGGACTCTGCAGCAGGCCCCAGGGAGTGTGCTCAGGAGCCTCATGAGGAAAGTCATGGCCAACGCCAATCTTGGGAATAAAGGGCCCTGGGTCTGGGAATTGCTGAGCAAGGACATGTCAAGCGTGTGGTTTTTAAATTGTTTCCGTTGTCTCATGGTTTTAATGTATTTCCCATGTATATAATTGCCTTTGGTTACAGGCAATGGTAACTGTAATTGCCTAATAATTTAGAAGACCACTAGTTCTTCAGTCAGTTAACCATTGAAACCACTGCTTTTCCAAATGTGTAGAAAGAAACTGGTTTATACATATTAAACCTTTAAAAATATATGAATTTAATTGTGGCTTTACACAAGACATTTAATCCTCCTGGGCCTGTTTCTTCCTCTAAGATGAATCAGTTACTACACACCTTTCAGCATCAAAAACTTTTTCTATCTATAATAAAAATCTTGAATGGTTATATTAAGAGTAAATCTTATACAGCGGGTGCCAAAAACATATATATTATACACATGACTTGTATTCATCTTTTGTTATCAATACTTATTATTACAATTTTAATAGTTTTTTCCCTTTCTTAAAATGTGTATACATTTTTTTGGCACCCTCTGTATATATGCAAAAGTTACTCACCAAGATCTAGGGCCCAAAACCTTTCCTTTTCTGTAAGCAAATTTGAAACTCTCTCAACTTTTCTTTTTCTGAATTAAAAAAAAAAAAAAAAAAGCATCTCATTTAAAATCCATCTCAAAGTGCTCAACTGGGCCTACATATCCTGGCCTTGTGCTTGCTCAAGTCTACAAAGACCAAATGCAGTATTCAATGTGATCATGACTATAAACTGCATTGTCCCTTTAAATGTCCAAGTACTCACCATTTTCTTAAAAAGTGTGTAAGCCCTATACTCAATTAAGGAAATACACAAGAAATGGAAATGTTCCAAATTATAGAAATCTACTATAAGTTAATTTTACATGAATCTTAGACACAAGGAAAAATGTCAATATATTAAATTTCCCAAACTCAAAAAAACTGCATCAAAATATAAAAACAAAACCAAAGCATGATATATGTGATACCCTTGGTTAGCCATATTTTAGCAAAAAATATCAACTAGTGGATTTAAAGCCAGTTCACTGAGAAAAGGAGTCTGTAGGAAACTCTGAGAAGTTCTATTTGAAGGTAAACATCACATTTCCTCATAGCGCTGTGAAAATAAGGTACAAATCTATAAAAATTGGTAGACCATTAATAGGAATGAAGGATAAAAACAGTATCAATACAGTACAGAAGAATATACAGTTCTTTTTAAATGAAATGCTTTTAAAACATTTCTCATTTTTGGATTTAAAAATCAAACACTAGAGTGTCCAGGAGATGTTACTGAAGTCCCCAGGGTCTCCCAGACCCCCCTCTGCTTCTAAGTAATTCATGAAGGCAGCTATGGCTGTGTCATCATTGTCACACAGGGCATCAAAATCTAACAGGGCACCATCACCTACAAAATTAAAATACAGGCCTGCATGAGTACATTTGGAAGTTAACAAATGATTATCATCACAAAGGCAATGCAAAACTAGAATATCATACGATATATATTTTGGAGGGCAAACTGTGTATCTTAAATTGCAGAAGCATGATACATTTTTAAATAGGGTCACCCAGTTTTACAACAATCTGCTGTCAGATAAATTGTACTTAACTCATTTGATACACATAAGTGAGCCAGTCTATGAGTTTTCTAATAGAAAATAGCCTAAAAAGGTACAGGCTCCCAGAGTTGGAAGCTAGAGTTTGGGGTGTGTGTGTGTGTGTGTGTGTGTGTGTGTGTGTGTGTGTGTGTGTGTGTGTGT